GGTCTTCGCACACACACAATGGCTCTAAGATGGGCGTCGGGTTTTGCACACACACGACAGGGCTCTAAGATGGGCGTCGGGTTTTGCACACACACAATGGCTCTAAGATGGGCGTCGGGTTTTGCACACACACGACAGGGCTCTAAGATGGGCATCGGGTTTTGCACACACACGACAGGGCTCTAAGATGGGCATCGGGTTTTGCACACACACACAACAGGGCTCTAAGATGGGCATCGGGTTTTGCACACACACACAACAGGGCTCTAAGGTGGGCGTCGGTCTTTGCACACACACACAGTGAAACCTGTGAGAGCCCAAACCTGATAGGCTGCCATGTTTCTCTAGGTCTCCTGAGTTCTGTGCCTCTGACAGGGTGCAGTCTCCCTACTTTCTATCACTTGTTTTATTGGAAAATATTTGAGTTTTCCTTTTCTGACAGGTTTCTGCTTTGCGTGGGCTTTACTGTGTACACACTTTTCCAGGAAGACGGCCCAGGTCTCTGCAGGCTCCTCCAGGTCTCTAAGAATGCCTCCTCTTCCCTCTTTCTCCTGGCACTGTTCTTACAGCCGGGAGGCACCCTCTTATACCAAAGCTTTGACCATCGACACGCTCATGCCGTCTCTCCTCCTGCACCTGACCTCCCTGATGGCTGCACGCATGTCCCTTTCCAGCAAGGCGTGGCCTAGACGCCAGCCATCAACATTCCCCAAGGGACACTGGGCTGCGCACCACAGTGGAAGACAAATCGGTGTGGGTGGCCAGAGCCGAGGGGAACAGTCACACAGGGGACCCTTCCAGGCAGCAAGCAGCCTGCTGCCTTATCGTGTTTACTTCTGGACTTTTACTGTGCACACTGCTAGCAGGTCATATGCACCACATCAAGAGCTCACGATTCCTACCACTCAGGACCCGTGAGTCCAGGCACTGGGAGCTGCTCGTCTAAAATACCCTTACTATCAATGAAGAGGTCAACACCAGCAAATTACATGCAAATGGAATGGAAATTATCCTCACTAGAAATGGGCAGTTTTTGAGATGCTTATTTTAATTTCGGGGCCTCATCTGTCATAAAATATAAATTGCTTAGTTCACAAACTTAATTCCAAACTAACATGATCTTTCACATTTATAAAGGATAAATGTTGCTAAATAACGTTATTTACTGACCCTAAAATAAGTTAGATTGCATGTTAAAGGCCCATCACACCAGTATCTGCGTACTTTACTACACTGAATACAGATCGCCATGCTATTTTCACTAGGCTACACAGGAAGATTAATTCTGGAAATGTTTCACACACGTGTCAGTTACTCAGGGTCACTTCAGAGTAATGATCCTCAGAGGGTAACAGTATCTCCCCCCGGTACAGGCTCTCTCTACTGATCACGCCAACTGGTTGATCCAAACTTTCTTAGACATAGACCCATTTACGATATAGTATGCCCACAGTGGTTAAAAAGTAATGTGTAGGTAATTTTGCAGAGCAACAGAGATACAAACAAAGCATCTTATGAACATATTCCAAAGTCTACAAACAGAGCAAGTGGAAATGAGATATTTGGTGCAGAAAAAGTCATTCTTTGCTGACTTTATTACATAAATTTAAGATAATTTCTTTCTCCATTAAGGAATATCAGATCACTCCTAATATAAAATTTTTTAGAAAGACACAGTAAACATATACACATGCATGTTTTATAAAGACTGACGGATAAGGGAAAAATCTTTCTCTAATTTAAATCCAACGGGAAAGTAAGGAACTGTTTTTAACTCCTAACTCTTCACACAAAAACCTCAGAGAGCTTGTAATAATTAAGTTCCTAATCCATGAAGCTTAGTTTCAAAACTGAGAATCCCACAAAGTACTTGCTTTCTTTATCAACTGCCCAACCTTTCTTGATCAGCAAATCAAACAACCCTCTGCCCACTGTGGCAGTGACGGTTCACTTCAGCATAAGTCAGCCATGTCAATATTTAGGCCAAAACACAGAACTCAGGATGCAGATAACTTGCGCTCTGCTTTCTCCTCTAACATGGACCAAACCAGTTGCTGGTGAGTCAATTATGACTCATAGTGACTCTACTGGACAGAGCAGAACTGCCCCATAGGGTTTCCAAGGAGCGGGTGGTAGATTCGAACTGCCGACCTTTTGGTTAGCAGCCAAGGTCTTAACCACTGCACCACTAGGGATCCATAAATAACAAACTACTACAAAAAAACAAAGGAAAACAACACACGATAATTGTGCAGAATGAATACTGAAATACTGACACTACCATAAAGGAGAAAAAACCATGCAAACCAGTGACTTCATTAAGCTCTCAAATACAGCTTCCACATGACCAAAACAGCATTTCCTATTCAAGAGACATCTTTCTATAAAAATATTGGAAGAGACTCTTTAACAATAAATAAGGGGGCAAAAATTACTATACACTAAGGTTTACTTTGCTTTTCAGTCCAAAAATAAACAAAATTCCACATAGTCAGCCTTAAATAAACGCTTTTAGCATTACTATATAAAAGGGAGCAGTTGTGGTTTTAAGGCTTAATTTCAAAGGTCTCCTAAGTAGAATAAAAAACATTTTCCAGAACAAGTGGGAACACAACAGACACAAATACTTTAAAAGTTAAGAATGTGGCTAGTAAGTGGCAGGCAGGAATCCTGATGCCATCTTGCCTCACCATGTTTTATGGGGTTTTTTTACACGTTTATTAGGAAGTATTTCAAATACTGCTGTTGCAGGTATATGCACGTAAAACATACAAATCTTTGGATATCCAATCTTCAGATAGTATCTGTAGCTTTAATTATACCAAAAGATCAGTGGGAAAAACAGGCGGAGACAAACGTAAGTAGTAATCACTCATAAACAAAAACCAAAGAAAATTTTACCTGTGTTTGTAAGAAAAAAAGAGAGTGGGAGCTATACAGATGAACGATGAAGGAAGGAATGGGGTGGAGGCAGCAATTAAGAGGGCTGTTCTGGTATCTCCCCTCACTACATCAAATTGAAGGGCAAAAAACCCACTACTGTTGAGGTGATTCCAACTCATAGTGATCCTACAGGACAGAGTAGAACTGCCCCATAGGGTTTACGAGGCTGTAATCTTCACAGAAGTAGACGGCCACATCTTTCTCCCATGGAGCGGCTGGGGGGTTCAAACTGCTGACCTTTGGTTAACAGCCAAAAGCTTTAACCACCGTGCCACCAGGGTGCCTACTTGAAGAGCTAGAGCCACCAAGCTCATGCTGAACTAGAGTAGTAGCAAGTGACAAATGGCGAGACTTAAGAACTAGTTACCCAATAAGCAGTTTCTCAGCATCTACTGAACATCCAATGATTCACTGTGCAGGATACAACCAAAAAGAATCCCGAATACCTGCTTCTATGGCAGATGTTTGCAGTCTGGTTAGGAAAATGTCAAAGAAAAAGCTTTATGCTGAGTGTGAATATCCCTCCCACGCATTTACATGCACCAACAATATTTGAAACACTTCCTAATAAACATATAAAAAAATCCCATAAAACACGGTGAGGCAAGATGGCATCAGGGTTCCTGCCTGTAACTTACTAACCAAATTCTTGTCTTTTCTAAGTGTAAGTTTCGTCATCTGTAAAACGGGGATGACAATAGCTGTCGTACAGGGTGGTTAGCATTAAGTGAGATAATACATAAAAAGCACCTAGTACAGTGCCAGGAATGTAGCAAGCCCTCCATCAATGCTCAGATAAAAAAAAGACGACCCAACCAAACTCTTGGTTTTGGCTGATGTCCACCATGACTAACCCTTAACTCACAACCGAGCTAGCGGGGGGAGTTCAATGCAGACAGACTCACCCCGCCAGGAACTGGCTACATGGCACTCAGACCAAAAGAAATTCCAACTCAGCTGTCCCGTCTCTGCATATGTCACAGGGACCTCATCATGACATGTAACAGTGCTAAGGAAACCTAAGGTAAATATATGTATCTCCAATGTCCACAAATATCACCCTAGAAAAAGCCAGAACAATGTGACTAGACTAAAAGCAAAGGCACCTTGAGCAAGACCGTTTTTAAGTCTAAAGTGTGGATGATAGCCCACTCACCACTAATTCTGACTCAGTTTTTCCATGTTGGTAAAACCCGGCGGTTGGTTCAACCATGTGATTTCTGAAACGCATCTTCCATTTTCATTCAGAGGAAAATAAATGTGGTGTGAAGTCTCTACTAACAAACTCACAAATAATTTTAAGGCATCCTACACCTATGAAGTGGTTATGAAGCTGTTGCGATTAGCAGTGAGTTCTCACACAAGTTGCATTTAATGACAACAGTAACGATAAAGCAGATTAACAGTAAATTCATGAAGCAGAAACACACGCACCAGCTCCACGTCAGGTGGTACAGTCAATCCTAACGGGGCAACGAACGGCTCTTCATTTTCCTCCAGATTTTCAGCCTCATTTTTTTCTATTGAAAAAAAAAAAAAAATTAAACATCTACACGACAACAAGGAAAGAATGCCCACCAACAGTACGCAATAACTCCCCGACTCTTTGCCTTTCCATCATTACATCTAGAAACACTCTCCAGTTTTTTCTGCCCCATTCCACCGCAGGTAAGTAGTACAGCCATTTCCCCAGATCCCAGAGCGGTGGGAGGTGGAGCAGAAGAGCACATGCCTGGGGTCAGATCGTTGTGTGAGTCCTAGCCCTCCACTTACTGGCTCTAGGCTCTTGGCACCCAGAGTGCCTTCCCTGCTCTCAGCCTGCCTCATGTGTATGAATGCAGAATTATCATCAACTCCAGAGCTGTTGTGAGGTTCAAGTGACCATAATACCTGACAGCAAGGACTCAACACACGTTCATTTGTCTTTCCTTCTCAGCCTCTTTTTTATTGATGTGTGCATTTAACTGATATCACTAAGACTCTCTCCAAACTATTTCTGTGGAACCCAATGGTATCAGGCATGACATAAGGTACTCAATTACTAGATGACTGATTTTCAACATAAGATTTTAAAATACCTGCGCACAATTGTCAAGACTTCTCCACGCAAGCAAACTATTTCTCTTTCACAAGTAATCAGAAGTCTTTTTTCCATTTCTATTTATTCATTAATGGCTCATTTAACAAACACTTGCCTATAATGTGGTAGGTGAGGTACTGCACATTATAACTTTTTAAATTCTAAGGTACCTGAATACACTCAATAACTCAGGTGATTACCAGTTTAAAAGAACATAGCGAAATGCATAGAAATATAGTAAACTTAGACTAACATTTTTAAAGATTTTAACACCTATTAACATTTTTATCAAGAAAGAGATAATGTTAAATAAGCAAACATTAAATCTCCATTAAAATAAATAACTTTGACTGTTAGTGACATTGGGTATCAAACAGAATTCTATTGTGTGTGTGTCTATATACATATGCACATGTATATATGTCCATAGGTGTGTATGTGTGTGTCTACGTACATGACACTCTATTTCTATTACTGCAAATTAAACATAAAAAGTCAAGCTGTAAGCGTCACATGGGCCCAACTCCTATTTAAAAAAAAAAGTATCAGCATATAAGACAAAATTCTGAGAACATGATTAAAGAAAAAAGAAATAAAATTATAAAACAATACAGAAAATTTTATGCTAAAGAGAAAAACATAACGAAACTTGGAAGAGAAACTAAGTCATACTGAAGTTCTTAATAATTCAGTAATTGTAACCAAGTATAATATTATTCAGCCCCGTAATTACATGAGACAATAGTCCAACATCTAGAACAGGGGTTGGCAAACTTTTTCTGTAAAATGCTAGAGTGAATATTTTAGGCTTTGCAGGCGTATGGTCTCTTAAGCAGCCACTCAACTCTGCCACTGCAGGGCAAAAGCAGCAACAGACAAAGGTCAACAAATGATCGTCGTTGTGTTCCAATAAAACTTTATTTACAAAAGCAGACGAATCAGGCCTGTGGGTCGTAGTTTCTTGATCCCTGCTCTGGAATGTTAAGGAATTAATATTACCGATTTTTCTAAAGATTGTTGCTATGATCTTGAAAAAGACATTTGACCTTTATAAATTTCAATTTTTCTTTGATTGTATGTATTCCTTTATTCTGATCAAAAACACTATGTATTTATAACAGAAATAATGTATGTGGTTCACAGACAAGAGAAGACAAAATCTGAACTATTTAGAACCCTAAAAGGAGATCTTGCTCTGCATAACTGAATAAAAGCTTATTTCTTAGACCTCCAAGAACACTTCCAATACATCAGAACATCTGAGGGATGTTAGGCTCAAAAGTCCACACAAAAGCTGTTGAATATCACATATAGTTAAAGTTACACTGGAAAAGTCTCTTTAAAAGCTCACAGAGTATATGAGATGTTGTATGTACAATGGTAATTCTTTTGCCCACGAAGTAGTGGGCAGGACTAAGGGAAGGAAAAAAAGGAAAGTCTCTACAACACATCAGACCTACATTCTATTTTTTTTTTTTTTTTATTGTACTGCCGGTGAAGGCTTACAGAACAAATAGTTTCTCATGAAACAGTAGTATACATATTGTTTTATGACAGTGGTTAACAACCCCACAACATGTCAACCCTCTAACTTCTCAAACTTTTTTTTTTTGGTGAAAATACACATAACCAAAGATACACCATTTCAAAAATTTCTGCAAGCACAGTTCAGTGACACTGACTACCCTACATCCTATTATTCTCTTAAGATAAAAACCCTTGGTGACTGGGAATAAGGGGAGAGGCCTAGTGTATTGGCATGCCTGCAAGGCACACATATTCTGTTTTAACATTAAGCTTCTATAATTGCTTCTTATATGGTTTAAGAGATTTGTTAGTTAGAGATAAACCAAATAACAGATTAAGTTAGCTCTTAAATCCCCATCTGATGTAACTGCAATTATTTTAAACCTTTTAAATGGGTTTCTAAAGTTTAGCACACATTTTGCAGTTCTCCCTCTCTTTAAACAAAATACCCTGAATATAAGTGACCCATCCTCACTGTTTCTGGTTCACAAGAGGTGACCACTACGAAGCACTGCAGTAACAGTGCTCTTGGGCTGACTCAAGAGATGAAACATATCTATCATTGCACTGTGTGAGCCCAGATTTTAGAGGAGCGCTATTTTTTATATTCAAAGTTTCCAGAGTTAACCCAGAAAAGCATAAATTGAAAAACTTCAATTTTACGCCCCTGGTCCTACCAAGACAAACAGGAAATCTGCAGTGCTGTGTTGTTTAGTAATAACTGTAACTCCACAGGGGTCCTTCTGCTGGGCATCTGTCACTGTTTCAGTTGGTGGCGCAGTGGTTAAGCGCTCAGCAGCTAACCAAAAGGTCGGCCACTCCTTGGAAACTCTATGGGGCAGTTCTACTCTGTCCTAAAGGGCTGTTGTGAGCTGGAAGCGAATCGACAGCAATGGGTTTGGTTTTGGTTATGTACAGGCAGGTTAGTAGGAAGGTAAGGCCACATTAACTTATCCCAGCTAATGCCCATCCTTTTAATGGCCCAAGCGTGGATCACTAACGAAACCAATACATATACTATGACTCTGGAAACAAAGAGTCCAGACTGAGTGATTTTCTGTTTCCTGAATCAGATAGGAATGAATGACAAGGCAACTCAACCCAACAGAGATCACAAGAGAAAGTCGGAATCCACTCTTCGTTTGCACTGACAGTTCATTTCCTAATGGTTAGCTCTGTTATACCACAAGAAGGAACACCACCCACGTCCTCTGTGTCAGATGCATGCTATAATTATGTGGGTCTGTAAAAGTGTCGAGGACTTGACCTGACCATTACATGCATGGTCCACAGTTGGCCAACGTGATCCCAGGCTGTCTACGCTGCTTACCTCTCTGTTTAGAAGGCTCCTCTTCCTCTGTTGGTTCTGAGGGGTCATAGTAATCACTGCCATAAGTGAACCCCACTGCATTATAGCTCCCATCCTCTGCTAGAGCTTCACTCAGTCGCTTGTATTCTTCCTCTTGAATAAAAATGAGAATTTTATTAACAAAAATGGAAATTTACTGGGAAAACTTTTACACGTCTAACATCGTAGCTATCGGTAACGCATACAACACGCTTTTTTCAACCTCTTTTTGAGGCGAAAATATTTCTAAGAATGCACACTTTTTGTCTATCGATATGTACTTTTGCCAGTACATGTTTACCCACAGACAGCAGAATACACGTCTTTTGTGGAAAATTTCTCCCTGCTGAGAAAATTTGGGGATTAAGAACTGTATTAAAGATTGTTAAGGCAAAGACAAGAACATCAATTTTAATTTATACGATACTGTTAAGGAAGAACAGTTAAAGAGTTTGGTTTTTGTTTTTTCAAATCCCAGTCTGCCCTCAAAAGCTGGGAAATTTCTTTGTGGCTCTATATATAAACTATCCTGAGGTCCTCTCAGATACGCAAAGACTCCTGTTTTTCCAATCCACTGGGTACTGTCAAGATAATATCAGAAAGAGTGAGTATAAAAAAATGAATGGGAGTAAATTTTTAAATACTTAAATTTTTAAAAAGTTTGTGGCTTAAGTAAGTTTTTCTTGAGCAGTACCTTGCCTTGCCTCCTCCTCAAGCAAGTCCGTATGCAAGGCTAAATACCTCTCTTCATCACACAGGGCATCTATTCGTGCCTCCTCTTCCGACAGCTGGTAATCTCTGTTCCAGGTGGAATACTCAGCATCGTACTCAGAAAGGTCATGCAGGTGACCACGTCCATCATATCTGTAATATGAACCAACTGGTCAATAGAAAGAAACTGAAGCCTAGGTCTGTGTGGGTGTGGTAATGTACATACATACTTACCAATTGAAATAAAGAAGTAAAAACATTAAAGCAAATACAAAAATTTCTCAGATTTATATTTAATTTGGTTAGTCATGTCTCACCTACTTTTAAAGCCAAGTTATCTTAATAAAGTCTAACTTCCTTTCTACGATATACTAAAACTTATAATTAAAAATAAAACAATCCTTTAACAATAGCATAAATGGTATCCACTTCACTGGCAAATCTTACCGTTTATGTTTGGCTAACCATTCAATGTCACTTGCAAAAAAAAAAATTATTTTTCTGAAAAGTCAAATACTATAGCTTACGTTCACACAAACCCGAATACATAAATACCTATCCGTAAGAACCAAACGGTCGAAATTTCCTCGCTTCTTTCTGTTAGTCCCGAACTCTCAGGAGAGATCTTCACCAAAGAAACTTGCGTCCATTGGAGGTAAAATCTTGGCTAGGCTCGCCCCCTAGCCATTTGGCTGAGGAAATAAGTTCTGGGTTATGTGATAGAGAGACACACATACATAGGAACAGTAACATATACATGCAGTTTAAGGAGGTTCACTGAAACAGAGCAAAACCATTAGAAAATGCAGCATAAATATTTTCTTCTAAACTTTGTACTCTCAGGAAAAAACATACATAAAGACACATCCATGTTCCTCTGGCATGGACCAATAGGTATTTTAGCCAAATTAAGACTAAGAAGAGCACTTTTTGCTATGCTTTTAACATACAAGATTCAATCAATATGCTAATCGTCAGTGTGCATCTGCTGAATAACAAATCAGTCAATTTTACTGAAAACTCTCAGATTTAGGGTTGCAAAAACAAACGTAGAGCAACAAACAAAAGTTTGCCACATTCTTTAATGCCACTTTTGTAATGGGACAAAAAATACTAGCTAAAAAAAACGACACATTTACAAGGAAAAAAAAAAGGTCAAAAATTCCAGAGTAACCAAGTGATTGTGTTTTATTTAATTTCAAAATTTTACTTTGATGTAAACCTCCTTAACTTACAAATATAGATCATTATTTAAAGATATTATACATGTACATGTGTAGAGTTTGCTCCCCACTAGTTTTGGAAGACCTAACTCAAACCATATACAGGATGATGTGGAAAACTGTATATAGAGCTCAGTCTTCATCGCTGAGCAAACTTTAATAAATATCACAAGTAACATTCTGGAAAAGCAAATTGCCTGATAACTGAGGCAATGTCATTCAATATGAACCAAGGTTTAAAGGTACAGAGTGTCTGAGCAGAGCATGGAGCCATCAGATCCACACCTAAGCTGCTCTGGCAACCCTCCCTTCACAAGTCCTTTTTTTCTAGATCTAACTCCAGAAGGAAAAGTCAGGGGTGGAAACAGCCTATTTGGTCATTAATGTGGTCCATTCTGGCCAGCTCAGGAGCCATCCCTACAGCCACGTTCCAGAACTTTGTAGAATCCAGTTTTAATGGTCTCAAACGATGGGTTTCCTTCACTTGGAGACTATTCCACAGTTTAACGGTTGGTCACAGTTAGCTTTTCAGTCCAGGCCCCAGAAGTGGTGTTGCCACATCGGCTACAAAAAACCCCAGTGAGGAGGAGGAAGGAGAGACTGAAACAAAAAGCGAGGGGAAAGGGGAGCAAACAGCCTACATCATGTAATGTCATCCTTTTCAAATCAGACATCTTCAGACATCCCAATTCTGGGAACCCTCTGCCCATGATCCTAAACATCCTCAAAGGGTGATTCCTTAACGCAGGTTTGATTTGAAAAGGAACAACACATCTGTATCCCAGCTCCACCCTTCAGTTCTAAGAGACAGTGAAACCAGCCCTAAGAACACTGGCTCCGAGAGTGTCATCACGAAGTCAACTGGCATCCGGTTTAACTGGAATCTGTCAAACTCGTCGGATTATTACAGGGAAAGGGACCAGATGTCATTCCGGCCGTGTACGGGCGCTCCACTGAGGAAGGCGCTGGGGGCATAAAAGGTTCAAGTCTAATTCACAGGGTCCGAGAGAGGTTTCTAACCACCGCCTCACTGCGGCGTTCCGCATGAATCTGTGGGAGCGCCGGGCGGCAGGCCCCAAGCACGTCAGGAGAGCCCCGGGGCACGGGCCTCTTCCACAATCGCCAACTGGAAACCAGCGACAGGGGTCGGGGTTAAGAGGGGCTGCGGGAGCAGAGACGATCCCTCCGGCGGCAGACGCGGCAAGTGATTCCAGCCAGTGCCTTAGGGCAGGTTTCACCGTCCCCCACCCCCAAAACCAGGAGGGTGTGAGGACAGGGGAGGGAGTCCCCTGGATCCCCGCTGGCTCCAGAAAACCCCTTTTAATCCCGGCCATCAAGTCAACATCAGACGAAATCAAGCGGGTGAGGGAAGGGGAGGATCGACGGGTGGGGGGAGGAACCGACCTGTCGATGAGGATCTTGTGGTCCCCCATCCAGGGGATGAGATGCTGTCCCTGTTCCTGGGCCAGGGCCCGCTCGTCGTCCCGGAACAGCTTGCAGGCATAGCCGAAAACAAGAAGCTCCACTCGGTTGCCCCCACCGCCAGCACCGCCGGGCCCGGCCTCCTCCTTCGCGCTGCTTTTCCTCTCAGCTTTGGCGCGGCCTCCGCCCGCGCCGTACATGACAGCGTCCCCGGCTTCCAGACTGATCGTCTTCTGCGCCGCGCCGAAGGCCCAGATGCTTCCGCCTGGCCTACCCCCTCAGTCAAACGCTCTGCATCCCGGACCCAACCTCAATACCGCCGCCATAGCGGGCAACAAAATGGAGGCAACGATACTTCCGGTGAGAGAGAGGCCGCACATCCGGCAAGGGTTTCGGCAGATTCGATACCCGTCAGGGCTGTTTGAACGGCTAGAAAATATTTTGGCTTAGTTTTTAGCATCCAGAAGCACCTCTACGATAGAGGATATTGCGTACAGAAGGAAGTGCATTTTTAGTCTTTGTTTTCTCTGGCGGAGGCATTCACGAACGGCTACGAAAGTGCGCGGTGGGACCGCGCGCCGGCTTCATTGCGGCCGGACGGAAGCGTTGATCATATCCGAGCGGAAGAGACCCGGGTCCGAGCGGTTCGGGACGTCGCCGGCTTCGCCCTCTAGGGTCTTCCGTGGGGGACTGTCGTCTTCCTTCGCGCCTGGAAAGCCACCGACCGTCCCGAGCCTCGCCGTCCCCGATGTCACCGGGGCAAGGGTCCCATGTGGGGTCGCGCGCCGGCCAGGCTCTGCGCCGGGCGAGCCGCTCCCCTTTCTGAGGCCCTGCTTTCGTCCTGATTTGAAGGGGGTCGTGACGCATGTCCCGCCTACCTCAGAAGGTTTCCATAGCAGGTGTCAAAGGGCTTTGTAAGCCATAAAGAGCTCCCAGGTGACGGGAATTTAGGATTCTGTGACTCGAGTGATGAAAGAGGTTGGGGTGGAGGGGGAGCCTCAGTCTCGGAGGCTGGGGTTCAGTGTGGTTTGCTGAGCCTTTTTCCTTTTGGGCCTCGTTTTGCCCAGCTGTGGTTCCTTAGGGGCTTTCCAGCCCCATCTGTAACTTCAGGGCAGAGAGTCAAGAGGGCTGGAGTGTCAAAGCACTGACTTTAGGGTCAGGGATCTGCCTGAAAAATCGAATGAGAGTAAACTCGTCGTTCTCTTTTCTGGACTACAGAGTCTTCCTCCGCAAAAAAACAATGTCTTCCTGCTAGTAAGGTTGAAATGAAATACTGTATCTGAAGGTTAAGAGGCTTTATAAAATTGTTGTTGTGTGCTGTCAAGTTGATTCTGACTCATAGTGACCTGCCCGTAGGGTTTCCTAGGCTGTAGGGTCACTATGAGTCAGATTCGACGCCACAGCAACGGGTTTGTTTTTTTAAAAAATCTTCACGGGAGCAGATCACCAGGCCTTTTGTCTGGAGGCGCCATTGGGTGAGTAGCAGCCAACTGCTTAACCGTTTACACCACCAGGGCTCCTAGGATTAATGTTGTTACTGAGGGCCATTGAGTTGATTCTGACTCAAAGTAACCCCATGTGACAGAGTAGAACTGCTGCCCTGTAGGGTTTCTTAAGCTGTAATCTTTACAGAAGCAGACTGCCACATCTTTCTTCTGTGGAGTGGTTTGTGGGTTTGAAACACTGACCTTTCTGTTAGGGGCTGAGCACTTAACTACTGTGCCACTAGGACTCCTTTTAATAAAATTAAAACCAAACCCGTTGCTGTCCAGTCGATTCTGACTCATAGCAACCTTATAGCAACCCTATAGTACAGAGTATAATGGCCTTATAGGGTTTTATAAAATTAGGCACCATTTATTGAACAGTTCAACAAATAGTTCCCACCCAAAGGCCTCTGCTGTTTCCATTTCCTCTGCCTATTCACAGGCACCTCACCCATGTCTTAATCACCACCTTCTCAGGGAGACCTTAGTGGTTCATACCACCCGTAGCTTCCCCTCTCTGGTCTCGCCCACGGACCTGTTGATACCACTTATCACCACCTCGCATGACATCATATATTTAGCCCCAGACTACAGTTAGCTTTGAGAACATTGGTGATTCAGTGGTAGAATTCTCAGCTTCCATGCGGGAGACCCAGGTTCAGTTTCCAGCCAGTGCACCTCATGTGCAGCCACCACCCATCTTGTCAGTGGGGGCTTGAGTGTTGCCGTGATGCTGGAAAGGTTTCAGCAGAGCTTCCAGACTAAGACGGACTGGGAAGAAAGGCCTGGCAGTCTACTTCTGAAAATCAGCCAATGAAAACCCTATGGAACTTAACAGCAATGACAACAAACAAAAAAGAGTAGCTGCTGAGGCTGCTTATGTACAGCCAGAAACCTCATGGGATTTGATTACTTGGTTTGGAGGTTTAGAGTCATGGTTTCATGGGACATCTCAGTTAATTGGCCTAACAATGTATTTAGCACTTCTGTTCTACCTCCTAGTTTGTTGCGTAGTGCCTGGGGTCTTAAAAGCTTGCAAGCGGCCATCCAAGGCACGACAATTGGTGGCTATTTGCTTGGAGCAACAGAGGAAGGAGAGCCAGGAATAGGAGGATATGGAACGTGTGGCCTGATTGCCTCCATGAACAACTGCCTCCTTTGCCATGAGACCAGAAGAACTAGATGGTGCCCAGCTGCCATTATTGAATGTTTTGATCAAAGACTCTGTAGAAGAATCCTGATCAAAAGGGGGAAAATGCAGAACAGAATTTCAAATTCTTGTGGACTCCAGACTTTCTGGAGCCATGGAGGCTGAATGAACCCCTGAAACTGTTGCCCTGAGATAATCTTTAAACATAGATCAAAAATTGATCAAATATGCAATCAGGATGCATTGATAATTAATGGTGATTGGAATGCAAAAGTTGGAGACAAAGAAGGATCGGTAGTTGGAAAATATGGCCTTGGTGAAAGAAATGGTGCCGGAGATCTTGTGATAGAATTTTGCAAGACCAACGTCTTCTTCATTGCAAATACCTTTTTTCAGCAACATAAATGGCAACACACACGTGGACCTCACCAGATGGAATACGCAGGAATCAAATCGACTACATCTGTGGAAAGAGACGGTGGAAATGTTCAATATCAGTCAGAACAAGGCCAGGGGCCGACTGTAGAACAGACCATCAGTTGCTCATATGCAAGTTCAGGCTGAAGTTGAAGAAAAATTAGAACAAGTCCACGAGAGCCAAAGTACAACCTTGAGTATATCCCACCTGAATTTAAAGACCATCTCAAGAATAGATTTGATGCATTGAACACTAATGACTGAAGACCAGATGAGTTGTGGAATGACATCAAGGATAGCATACATGAAGAGAGCAAGAAGTCGTTAAAAACACAGGAAAGAAAGAAAAGACCAAAATGGATGTCAAAAGAGACTCTGAAACTTGCTTTTGAACGTCAGGTAGCTAAAGTGAATGGAAGAAATGATGAAGAGAGCTGAACAGATTTCAAAGGGCTACTCAGAAAAACAAAGTACTGTAATGACATGTACAAAGACCTGGAGTTATGGCATTTCTTAAGCTGAAAGAACTGAAGAAAAAATTCAAGCCTTGAGTTGTAATAGTGAAGAATTCTATGGACAAAATACTGAACAACACAGGAAGCATCAAAATAAGATGGAAGGAATACACAGAGTCACTGTACCGAAAAGAATTGGTAAGTGTTCAGTCATTTCAGGAGGTAGTGTATGATCAAGAACTGATGGTACTGAAGCAAGAAATGTAAGCTGCATTGAAGACGTTGGTGAAAACCAGCCTCCAGGAATTGGCAGAATACCAATTGAGATGTTTCAGCAAACATGCAGTACTGGAAATGCTCACTCATCTATGCCAAGAAATTTGGAAGACAGCTACCTGGCCAAGTGACTGGAAGAGATCAATATTTATGCCTATTCCAAAGAAAGATGATGCAACTGAATGCTGAAATTATCGAACAATATTATTAATATCACACACAAGTAAAATTTTGCTGACAATCATTCAAAAGCAGCTGCAGCAGTACATTGACAGTGAACTGCTAGAAATTCAAGCTGGATTCAGAAGAGGATGTGGAACGAGAGATATCATTGCTGATGTCAGATGGATTCTGGTTGAAAGCAGAGAATACCAGAAAGATGTTTTCCTGTGTTTTATTGACTACGCAAAGGCATTTGACTGTGTGGATTGTAACAAATTACGGCTAACATTGCGAAGAATGGGAATTCTGGAACGCTTGATTGTGCTCATGAGGAACTTGTCAAGAGGCAATCAGTTGAACAGAACAAGGGGATACTGCAAGGTTTAAAGTCAGGAAAGGTGTGTGTCCGGTTTGAACCCTTTCACCGTACCTATTCAATCTGTATGCTGAGCAGATAATCTGAGAAGCTGGTTATATGAAGAAGAACGGGGCATCAGGATTGGAGGAAGACTTATTAACAGCCTATGATACGCAAATGACATAACCTTGCTTGCTGAAAGTGAAGAGGACTTGAAGCACTTACTGATGGAGATGAAAGACTTCAATATGGATTACACTTCA